CAACGTCGACGCTACGACCAACATCCGAGCCCGAGTCCCTACACGAGTCCGAACCTCAGTCGAACGAAACCCTCTCTCCTATCGACGAGAACACCTTGAAACTGGCAGATGCCATTGTCACCGATACAAGAGTAGAAAAGCCTGCAGAAGACAAACAAGAAGTCGCCAGTCCGATGCCCGAGGCGTTTGCACCCAACGTCCCTGGCAGCGTGACGCCCAAGATGGCCCACGATTCTATGGTCACTGTCAGGCTGTCGGAGCCGCCCACGCTGACTCTTGATACATCGGTGCTGCTCGAGGATGCCACAACACTGCGGCGACCCAGCACAGCACGGTTCGACAAGACGCCCCTCGCTCATGTGGTCGAGCGAGATGACAGCCTCGACGAGGTATCGAGCGACCCTGCTACGCCACTTCCGCCAACGAACAGTGCCCGAAGCATCGAAGAGGAACTGGTGGATGCGAAGGATGAAAGTTGCGTGGAATCACCCGCGGACGACAAAGATCACAATGCAAAGGCTCGCCGCTCGTCTATTTCGGAAGAAGTCAACTGGGAACAGCTGCAAAAGACGGAAGCCGAGGAGCCGAAGGACGACGAGACGGACAAGGTATGCCGATTGACTTCCCTAAGCAGCGACGACCCAGTTTCTGACACGTATCGCACAACAGTCTACGGCAATGCTGCTCGCGATGCTCGAAAAGGAGAACGACTTGTTGGCTACTAACCCCAAGAGTGTCAAGGTGCAGGCTGTCGAGCAATTATCGAACCAGCAGCGCGTGAGACCCCCTTCGATGGCCCAACTGCGAGATATGGTCAATGGACCTCAACCTTCCGCCCTTCGATATTCCATGCTGCCACCTCCTCCAATGACCGACCTCGAGTTTTATGCTGCGCTCGTCAAAGACTACCAGCAGACCGCCGCCAGGCTGCCGACACTTCTATCCAATAAGATCCGCAAAGGCATTCCGCCTCCGCTGCGCGGCGTCGTGTGGCAGAGCATGTCGGGCGCTTGCGATGCATCCTTGGAAGAGCAGTACGAGCGGTTCTCGGGCGAGTCGAGCCCGTATGAGCCGATGATCGGCAAGGATCTCGGACGGAGCTTCCCCGGCGTTGACATGTTCCGCGATCCGGAGGGTGACGGCCAGCGTATGCTCGGCAGGGTGCTCAAGTGCTTTAGTCTCTACGACCAGAAGATTGGCTACTGTCAAGGGCTGGCCTTCCTTGTTGGCCCTCTGCTCATGCACATGCCTGACAAGCAGGCATTTTGCGTCTTGGTCCGGTAAGAGCCGTGAAAGGCAGCTGCATCCTCGTACCACCAGACCACGCTAACCGTGACATGATCAGATTGATGGAACGATATGATCTGCGCAGCTGTTTCCTTCCCGACCTGTCAGGACTGCACGTCCGCATCTACCAATTTCGGGAGCTGTTGCGCGAGAATCTGCCCCTGTTGTCGGGACACATGGAAGATCTACAAGTTGACCCGGCATATGTTTCACAGTGGTTCCTCAGCTTCTTCGCGACAACATGTCCCCTGCCAATGCTGTTTCGCATCTACGATGTCATCTTTGCAGAGGGCGCCCCGGAGACTCTCATGCGTGTCGCCTTGTCGCTCATGCGCAAAAATCAATCCCGCATACTGGGCTGCAGCGAGTTCGAGGATGTCATGCAACTTCTCCTGTCTCGTGGCCTCTGGGATTGCTATCACTACAACGCCGATGAGTTCGTGCAAGACTTTGTCAGCTTGACCGGCGTTGTCAGCCGAGGAAAACTACTGCAGCTCGAGCAGGGGTACCTGGAGGAGAAGATTGCGACGGCCAATGCGGCACGCACATCAGATGTGACCACTGCCGCCTCCCGATTCTTGGGCCGCATATGGGCCACGTCTTCTACGAAATCATCCAACCTGAGCCCTGGTCTAAGTGCCGCCTCGCGACCAATGAGCATTTTGCGACGCAGCACCTCGAAGCAGAGCCTTGCCTCGACTCTCAACTCGATGGAGGCTAGCTCAGCCAGTGTGTTGAGCTCAACTTCCACCGACGCGACTGGGGTTTCTCGGGACTCGTCAACTACGACTGCCGATGATGGCGCCTCGATCAAACCCAGCAATAGCACGAACCATAAAAACACCGAGGAGAGGAATCTCCACAACCAGATCGAGGATCTCCTCACCGCCCTCAGCGAGCTGCAACGGAACAACGCACTGTTGGCGTCAGACCTGCAACAGGAGCGTGAGCAGCGTGAAGAAGACACGCGAGCCGTCCGGTCGCTGCTCGACGGCCTCCGCAAGAAAGCCAGCAATGATTCGGTTGGGACAGACGCAAGCCTCGAGACTGTCAAGGCCAATGAGAGCACAGATGCTGAGCAGGCAGACGAAGAAGCCGACAAGAGGAACAGCACCTTGGATGCTGAATCAAAGACCCCCACCGCCGACGACCTCTCTCAACTATTGGATGTTGTCGAACAAAGATTCGCCCTGCCGCAAGTGACCGTACGGCACCGTTCTTCAACCATTCAGTCTAGAACGTCGCTGCGCGATGAGCTTAGTCATGCCAAAGATCAACTTGCCAGTGCCATCTCTCAGTCTCAGGACTACGGAAGAAGGATATATGACTTGGATCAGGAGGTATCAGCTCTGAAGGAACAAGTCAAGGAGAGCCATGCTCACACCCGGGCCCTGCATCAGGATAAACAAAGGCTAGAGAGGCAGATCCTTAACATGCGGGTGCGGGCTTCTGCTGTTGAGGTCGACGACCGCGCTAACGTGGCGGCCCATCCGCACACGAGCACGTCCAACATGGGCGAGTGGCCCAAGGCGGCGACGGGTGCTGCTGGAGGACTTCGCGAGTTGAAGCTCGGCAGAAGTAGGTCAACACCATCGCAAGCCGGATCGGCGTTCGGCAAGAGAACATCGTCGCTCCCCAAGCCTCACGATTCAACGATTCCTACGGTTTCCACGCCATCGCCTCCGGTCAGCGACCATGAAGCGCTGTTGCTGGAACTCGTGCAGGCCAAGACATCTGAGGCTATTGCCAGACAAGAGGCAGACGAGTCAAAGTTGAAGCTCGAGAGCCTTCGAAAGGCGTACGGTCTGGCACCAGGGGACACACCACCAGTCTCTCAAGCACCATCGGCTGCTTTGGCTGCCATGGGTGTCTTTGGCCGATTCACCGGCGGAGATGCCACGAAGGCTGCTGCGGCGCCCGCTGTCACGACACCACCTATCGAGCAGAGACCCGCTCAACAAACCCAGGCTGGAGGATTCTGGGGCTGGCGACGGGCCTAGGCTAGATGGTGCTTCAACCGTAGGCGGACAGACAGCCATCAGTGGAGGAGATGGGTCATAGTGTTAGGGACGGCGTGCGAGCTGTGAGGGCGGGGATGGCAGTACATTTGACGGAAGACCAGAAGGAAAAGGATCAGTAAAGGGGAGGCATGAAGTATCATATCCACAAAAGGACAGGCGGAAGTGAACACAGCATTAGACTGACTTTGCTCGCACATAGCCTTGGAGTTGACCGGCGTTCTGGAGGTTACAAGGGCCAGATGAGCCTCTGACTGTTTGTCTGGCTTCTCTTAGTGGGATTACCTTGGGCGCTTTTGCGAAAGACTTTTGTAGTCCTGGTGAGAATGAAACGAATTATTTGTCAGGTTCATTTTGACATGTTTGTGATGCGGGCGCATCCTTAAGGTTGCCTCGAACAGGCGTCCGTCTACGTAGCTCATCATCGGCCCGTTTTCCGAATGCCCTCAAGTCACGGTCCTGGGAGGTAGCGAACCAGCAAAGTCGTTCTCCCAATGGGATGACGCTCGAGTCGCGCGCGTGCATGTCATGTTCTGGCCAAGTCGGGCTTGGTCGGGGTGGTATCGAAAGCGGGGAATCACATGCAACGGCCAGGAGACAGTCTCGAGACAAAACATCACTACCTGGCCCTGCTACCCCTTTGAGCTGGGGGCGCGTCATGGGGCATGGCCCTTCATGCTGCAACCTAGACTCCGTACCATCACCATCAGATAGATCTGTCAAGTTTTGGTAGTTTTTTTCCTTCCTTCGAGCTTGAGGCCAGATAACGAGAGGGACGTGGCTGTTGCCTGTCTGTCCTGCTGGCGGGGGCACGCTCTGGTGCGCGTGTACGGGTTGCTTGCATGTCGTGGTATGACGACAGCGACGGGCGTTCCAGGCTCTCTGCGTCGCGAGCCGATGATGGGAAATGTCGCAATGAGTTCAGGGTCGCGGTGGAGCGCTGTAGGGTGGACACTGCAGAAGGTATAGGGTACTTGACAATGCACCATACCGGGCTGTGTCATGGTGTAGACGAGACGGGGGAAAAAAAGTCGTATCGATTGTTGCTGTGGCACACATGCGTCATCGCTCGAGCCAGCTGGATGCACTAGCCACAGTGGAAGGTCCACCCAGGTGAAGGTAAGCTGGAGCAGGACAGGCAGAGAGGCTCAGGCAGAGGCTAGAAAGAGAAAGCTAAGGTATCTACCTAGGTACCTAAGGTATGTAGGCAGGGAGAAGGAGGTCAGGGCCTGTTTTTTTCGTTCCTGCCCCGGGTGGGTTCCAGGTTGCTCCTGCAGTCCCGTCATTTGCATCACCACGCTTGTGAGCAACCCACACAAAGGGGTGCTTTTCTCTCCTCCTCCAAGCGCTATCTCGCCTGCTCTCCCACTCCCTCTTCCACCATCACCGCACACAAAACTCCCAAACCCTCTCGCACCTTACCATTCACCTTCCTCGGAATCACTATTCTCGAACCTGCATCTTCGCGTGCTCTTTGCCATCCATCTTCGCCTGTCGAGCTCGCTACCCTTTCCACACACGCTCACACGACCACATCCACACGACAACACCACCGTCACCCGATCGCAATGGCTGACTTCCCCGACGCCCCTACTGGCAACCCAGGTGCCAATGGCAACTCCTACGTCCAGACTACCAAGGAGAGTAAGGTACGTGAATGAAATGCAGATACTTATTTGCACTCCCTCGCTTCGAATCCTTGTTATCTCTGCCTTGGATCATTGTTCGCTGACCCGGATGACGACAGTATTCGAGCTCCCCGCCGCACCCACACAAACGCACACCCTGACTACAGAAGCTGACCCTCGACCGCTAGACGCCGCTGCTGCTTACCAGCAGCTCGCCAACGGTATGTTGATTGTGTTCTTGGGCCATGGCTGATCTGCCGGCGCCTTATCTCTGTCGCCAGGAAAATTTACTGACCCAGCTCTCCCTCTCCAGGCCCCATGGCTGAGAACGTAAAGGCCCAATCGGCCAAGACCTCCAACGAGTTTGGCAACCTCGCTGCCTCTCGCAGGACTCCCTCGCAGCCTGCTGCCACCGGCCAGCCTCTCACCCACTACCACTCGTTCTTCTCCGAGCTCCTTTCTTGGAAGAACCCTCGTACGTCATGATCTTCTTGCTTCCACCTGGCTTTCTTCGAACCACGGAAACTGATAAGCATGTCCTAGGTGCCTCCGCTATTGCCTATGCCTCCATTGTTTCGGTCATCTTTGCTGTTCGCTACCTGGATGTTCTCCGCTATGCCTTCAAGCTTACATGGATGGTTCTCGGCACCACCGTCCTTGCCGAGCTTACCGGCAAGCTCGTCCTCAACAACGGCCTGGCCACCCAGCTTCGCCCCCGCCGCTACCACACCATCTCGAGGGAGACTCTCGATGCCGCTATAGGAGATGTGCACGAGCTCGTCAACTTCTTCGTCATTGAGGCTCAGCGCATCCTCTTCGCCGAGAACGTCGGTGCTTCTGCTGCTGTAAGTTTGTGCTCGTGAACAGATCAGGTATTTCGTCAGGCTGATCATGGATTTAGGCGTTCCTCGGTGCCTTCATCTCCTACTACCTTGTCAAGGTCATGCCTCTCTGGGGTCTCGCCTTGGCCGCCACTACCACCCTCTTCGTCGTTCCCCTTGCCTACACCTCCAACCAGGAGCTCATCGACCACCACCTCAAGCAGGCTGGCGATGTCATCAACGACCAGACCGCTCAGTTCCGCTCCGTTGCGCAGAAGCAGGCAGCCCAAGCCACCGACCTGACCAAGCAGTACATGGGTGACTACACCACCAAGGCCCAGCAGTTGCTCGGTCGCTCGCCCTCTCCCGAGGCTTCCGCCAAGCCCGCCCCCGTCGCCTCGGAGCCCGTTGCCGAGAAGGACTTCCCTGCTGCCCCCAGCACCGAGTTCAACAAGGTCGACACCACGACTGAGCCCGTCGTTCCTGGCGAGAACCCTCAGCTGGCTTCTTAAATTGCCACTTGGGATCAACAGCTACCTGCGGCGAGCAGACTCGTGAGCGAAAACCGCGAGTTGATGCTGCTGGTCGAGTGACGACGATGACGCATGGCATGAGACGAAACGACGCGACACGATGTGACTGTCTTTTCCACCGGAAAAGGTGGCATCGACGTGGGCACGACAGCAAGATCATTCTGCGAGCTTCTTGACTCCGGCGTCGCTTGGGTTTCTTTTTCTCGCTTGATTTTGGAAGCAGGGCTTTCTATCGGATCGGAGTGTGTTTTCGTGCATCAGACGAGGCCGTGCAGACCTGCAGTGGCCTGCACTTGCCACGAGGGAGAGTTTTGGTTTGTGTAACGATGTACTGTACTCTCGATGACGAACCTGGGTCTCATGGTTGATTTTTAGTTTCGCTCCCTTTCATGATTTCCGGCGACGGCGAAAGGAAGACGGACACCCATCAGATTGAGATTGCCGCGGCAAGGGAACGGAACGGTTCGTAAGGGCCTCGTAATATTATTTTTTCATAACGCGTTCACCTCAGTGCTGTGCATCCGATCCTGACAGCTCAAGACTTTGTACGGCTGCTTAGTATCGCTCTTTTATGTTCAACCAGTCTGCAAGTCTGACTGCCAAGCACAATGCTCAGAGCGTCACACAAGTAGACATCAAGCAGTATCACGAGCGGTAGGAAGCAATGTCAAGCCAGTAGTAGTCGTATTCACGCACCAATCCGAGATGTACTCAAACAACAACAGCAAGGTGACAAGAGTCGATAAGGAAAACGAAACTAAAGTTGGGGCTATATCTAGTCAGGCAAGGAAGATAACATACCATTCGCAAGTCTGGTCTTGGATCCGTAGCAAAAGCATGAGGGCAGGGAGGAGGAATGAGAAAAGGAAATAAGAAGGGTGGGAATTTCCGAGCCCGAGAAAAATGCTTGTTCATCAATATCATCGCATCCATCTGATCTGACAGCCCTTCCCGTCCGTGAACGCCTCGCACTTGCCAAAAATGTCGACGACTCCTTTTAGTCGCTATCGCTAAAGCCATCATCCTGCGGCTCGTCCATGGCCACGGAGCTCTCTTCATCGTCGTCGATGATGTAGGTGGGCTTCTTCTTGGCAGCCGCACGACCCGGACGGCCTCTAGCCGCGGGACGTGGGGGCGGCGAAGAAGGCTCGGCGTCATCAGCGTCAACCATCATATCGTCGCTATCGTCGTCGTCGTCGCTGAAGACGGTCTTCTTCGCGGGCTTCTTCGCTTCCTTGCTGGCCGAGTATGCCTTGGCAGCAGGTGAGAGAGGCAGGGGCTTCGCGGCGGCTTTGGGGGCTGCTTTGGGAGCTGTTTTGGGAGCTGCCTTGGCCTTGGCCTTGGCGGCAGGAGCCTTTGCTGTCGCAGCGTCATCCTTCTGCTTGTTCTTCGTTCCCGCGGGGCGTCCACGGGCCTTCTTAACCTCAAGAGCCGGTGGAGGCACGGGTTCCCGCGACGACGAGGATGCCTTGGAAGGCTTACGAGCGGGCACCGAGTCATCACTGAGGAACTCCTCCAGATCATCGTCCTTGCTGGCCACAGGCTTGTGGGGCGACGACCGCACCGCGAGAGCCTCATAGTTCGTCTCGTCGTGGCTGTCATCGTCCAGAATGTGCCTTGAAGGCTTCGACTTGAGCTTTGGAAGGGCTGCCTCACGTGCGCCATGGCTGGACTCGGGGCGGTTCATGCCGTGCAAGCTGAGTCTACCATTCTTCAGCTCCTTGGAAGGATCTGTTGTCGTCGACTTGTACCCGTGAACCATTTGGCCAATGTCACCGACATCGCCAAAGTCGTTGTCGCTAGCATCCGACTCTGACAGGTCGAAGACAGGTCGGGCCTTGGCAGCCGCTGCTCGCTTCGTGCGCCCACCCATGACCGGCTCGGCTTCAGGCTCGACAGACGCAGCGGGTTTCTTTTTCTTCGCACTCATGCTGGTCAGGTCGCCGTCAGAGAAGTCGCTGGAGTCGGCGAATTTGGGCAGAGTCTCCTTTGCCTTCGGCTTTGGCCTCGAGGCCGGCACGCTGCTCTTGCGTGCAAGAGCGGCCGTAGCGGTGTCATCGTCTGACTCCTCGGCCTTGAGTACGGGCTCCTTCGCCTTGGGTGCAGTCTTTGGCGCAGCCTTGGGCTTGGCAAGGATCGCAAAGTCATCGTCAGAGAAGGCGTCGACTGGCGACTCGGCCTTTGCGATTTCGAGTTTCCGGTCAAACTGTTCCTGGAACCTCTTGGCAGCAGGTACCGGTTTCGCGGCCGCCTTCGCTTTCGGAGCTGCCCTCTTCCTCTCAGGCTCGAAGTCATCGTCAGCCTTGTTGCGGCTGACCTTGCCTCCGCCAGCACCGATCTTCCTCGATCGTCGGCGGCCCATACGGTTAATCTTGGACTGGATCTTGTCATCCATCTCAAGCTGTGCCTCCCACTCTTCGGTAAACTCATCAAGATCTTGGCACCAAAGGTCTTTTTCGCTCTGGGCCAGAAGAGCGTCGTGCTCGCCCTTCTTCTTCATGATCGCAGAGTTCAGCCTTTCCAAGCGCTCGAGTGTCAAGGACCAGATAGGCAGCTACGAATGGTTAGCGCATTGTGTACTCCAACCTCTCAAGTGTGAATTACATACCGAAAGTAGATAATCGTAGTCGGCAGCGCCGCCAACGCTGTCATCCTCATTGTCGGACGCATCCATGTCCTCTTCTTCCGTCGTCGCCTGCTTCTTGCCGTCGTTCTTGGGGAACGCTTCGTACTTGCGGTCGCGCAGTTCTTGCACGAGAACTGGCTTCCGCTTCTTGGAGACGATCAACTCACCGTCGATGATCTCCTGGATGAAGCGCGCCTGGTTCTTCAGCTTACGGTAGTCTGAGTGGTAGACCCCAAGCCAGTGCTTCTTGCGTGCGCTGTACATATCAAGGCGGTAGACGTAGAACTCTTCCAGAATATCCTCGACCTTCTCGTACTTGCGAATGCGGCCGGTGCTGTCAAATGCCACCAGGTTCGACGTCGCAACCTGCTTGTTCAACTTGAACCTGTCCATGATACCTTCGTGGGTCTTGTGGATGTCCTTGTAGTGTTTTTCATCAAGCTGAATGACAAAATTGACATTTTTATGATCGTTGAACTCCTTGTAGTCCTTAATCCAGGCCGGGCCCTTGGCGCCGCTGATCACTTCTTCCAACTTCGCCTTGAAATCATCGGTCCACATTCGGATGGGGAGCTCCTTGATGATAATTTCACCTGTCTTGTCGTCGGTTTCGTAAATGCCGTTGAACTTGTAACGGTCCTTCTCGGCGGGTTCCGGGGTACCCTTCCAACCACGGAACCAGGGCATCATCGTCTCAAAGGGTTTGCCTTCGGTGTCGTCAGAATCAAGGCGACCCATGCGTCTTTTGATGGCCCTGACAATCTCCATTGGGTGATAATTGGGAATCGAAGTGCTCCAACCTGTACCAATGCCATCGGCGCCGTTGCACAGAACCATGGGAATAATCGGGGCATAGACCTTGGGTTCGATCGGCTTTCCGTCCTCCATTTGAACTTCCAAGTTGGGCTCGTCAAGAACAGAAAAGATCTTCCGGGCGAATGGAGACAAGCGCGTGTGGATATAACGGGGGCTGGCAGCGTCTGATCCACCGGCAAGACGAGAACCGAAGTTACCACTGGGCTCGAGGCAGTTGACATTGTTTGAACCGACAAAGTTCTGAGCGAGGCCAATGATCGTCTGTTGAAGAGACATTTCACCGTGGTGGTACGCGGCCTTCTCGGAAACATAACCGGCCAATTCCACGACCTTCTGGTCCTTGGTGAGGTTCCTCTTGAAGCAAGCGAACATAACCTTTCGCTGACCAGGTTTCAGACCGTCAAGAACTGACGGGATGGAACGCATATTGTCAGCCATGCTGAAGAGGATCAACTCTCTATTGACGAAATCATCGTACGTGATCGACTTGGTCGAGTGATCGAGATACGTTCCCGGAACAAAGTTGCCAAGCCACTCCTTACGAGCATCTGCCTTCTTCTTGGAGAAGGCGAGATCGAACAGATCCGCCTCGGAGGACTGCATTGTGTCAAACTCCTTGAGATGATCGTCGAGATTGGTAAAGTAGACCTGGGCATCTTCGTTGGAACTGGTGCCCAGACCCTTGTAGTACTTGTACTCCCAGCGGCTGATCTCATTCTTGTGCGCCTCTTTCCACTCCTCATATTGAGGCTGAGTGAAGAACGCCTGGAGCTTCTGGGGGTTCTTGGGGTTCTTGCCTTGCCAGACTTTGACAATCGGCGTAATGAACTCCCGGAAAAAGTCGGGGATCTGGAGGAGGGAAGGGTATTGGACCTGTAGGAAGTTGATGAGAAGGCCCTTGATATGACTGCCGTCGTGGTCCTGATCGGCCATGATCATGAGATGACCATAACGCAGACCCTTCGTATCTGTGTAGTTTTGCTTGTGTTTCAGTCCCAAGAATTGCTTGATGTTCTGGATTTCTTGGTTCTTCGTGATCTGTTCAATGGATGCATCGCGGACGTTCAACATCTTACCACGAAGGGGAAACACACCGATGCGGTCAGGGTCGAGAATAGCGCGACCCGCAACAGCCAGACTCTTGGCAGAGTCACCCTCCGTCAAGATCAAGGTGCACTCATGTCCGCGCTTGGTGCCCGCCAAATTCGCGTCGACGAGTTTGGCATTGTTGATGCGCGATCGCCTGTTGCCATCGCTCTTGGCCATCATCTTGTCCGCCTTCTTCTCGGCAAAGCTCATGATGTTCTGAATGGCATCGGAGGCGGCAACTTTCTTTAGGAACGCTTCTGACAAGACACACTTGCTACCAAAGCTGCTGATCTTGGTAGTCATTTGCTCCTTGGTCTGAGAGTTGAACGAGGGGTTTTCGATGCGGCAGTTGATGAAGACGAAAATGTGGTTGCGAATATGTTGCGGCTTCAGGGCGTGGCCCTTCTTCTTCTTGTCGAGGTACTTCGTGAGATATTGGACAATCTGGTCAGCGACGTAGTTGACATGTGTGCCACCGGACGTAGTGGCAATGTTGTTCACGAATGAAATGTGCTGGAAAGAGCCGTCCGACACGGTGAATCCAACATCCCATCGGGGGTTGTCATTCTTGTCCATTTCCACGGTGACCTTGGGCTCACCTCCCTCCTCAGAGGCTCGTTCTTTGGCGATAGCCTTGGCGTACATCTCGCTGTAGCCCTTGAACGCCGACGGCTTGACCACGGTGCCGTTGAGGTGGACTTTGATGCCCTTGATCGTGCCAGCCATGTCGTAGACTCGGCGGTACAACAAGGCCTCGAGGTCATCGTCGATGCCCTCCATGCTGAACCGTTTGAAGTCGGGCTTGAAGGTGATGCGCACAAAGTCGCTGGACTTGCTCGAGGTAATCTTGGCCTTTCCCATCTTACTCATGTTGTCGGTCCAGGTCTGTTTGTATCTTTTTCGTTGGCAGAGTCCTGGCACTCGACG